AAAAAAAAATACATTCTTTTCTAATACCTTAAAAGGACATTATAAAATACTAAAGAGTTAAGTAGGATAATTCTTATACTTCTAAATTAAACCTTCCACTCCATTGCTGTAAGACTATAGTATTGTTATGTACTGTAGAGTCAGAACCAACCCATCGCTGACCACCTTCTGGTGGGTTTTCAGAGGCAGTAATCACAGGGGAGAAGATTACCCATCCTTCTCCTGAAAAGCAGCTGGTGGCCTCAAACTTTGTGCCCTTGGGATTGCAGCACAGTTTGTTGCCTTAAGTCACCAGAGATCCCGGACTACAGTATGTTGTTGTTGTTTTATGCCATGGAGTCACTCAAAGCGACACTATGTACAACAGCCCTGAAACCTCCTCCATCCTGTTCTGTCTTTACTGTCTCTGACACACCTACCCTCAATACCCCAGTCAACCCATATCACCTATGGTCTCCCTCACTTTCTCCATCCCTCCACCCTTTCAAGCATGATATCCCTCTCCAAGGACCAGTCCCTCCTTACAACATGCCCAGAGATTGTCAGATGAAGCCTCAGAATCCTTGCCTCCAAGGAGCAGGCTGGTTTCACCCTTTCTAGGATGAACAGTATAGTGAACTAAATAGAAATGGAGAAGTTATACTGTAAATTCCGTAATAAAAGAGATTTGGAGACAGCAATTCAGTGAGATGATTATTTCTGTTTATTACCTGTGAATGAATTTGCATTATTAGTTGGAATTTTTTGTCCATTGAGACATAACGAAAACTGATTTGCATGCACATGACCAAAGGCATGCAGATAACTTCCTTCTTTTTTCTGGAGTTTTTCCTTTGGACTATAAATTCCTTTAGCAGCTTGCTTGTGACTCTGAATTATATGTATTTCCATTTCTTTGCAAACAAGAATGAAACAGTGGAGGCGGAAATAGTGTCAAAGAGGCCCTGCCGGGAAACCACAAACACAAGTTAAAATCTAAACTAATAGGTTTCTTTCTCCCTTCCTCTTTACTTTTGGATTCTGGGCTAATGGTTTTGTTTTTTTTTAATGCAACATAGCCTTTGTTTTGATCTGAATCTGGAAGTTGGTGAATTTTTTACCTATCTGAAAAATATGTCAGGTATTGAGATATTAAAGTATTTTTAATTAATCATCATTCCAGCAATTGCTAAATGGACTGTGGAGGTGTTTATTATTTACTAACTGTCTGTCATTGAGAGATTTTTGGAGGGTCTGTGATGCATGTTGTTGAACCTATTAAATAGAATTATATTGGGCTCTAGATGATAGAATACATTTAGCTTTCTGTTTTGATTATTAATCATTGATGTCTATTTGTTGAGATCAAAGATTTTGATTATGTACAAGCATCTCATGGCCAGCCTCTAATTGCTACACGAATTTACATGATGGAGTTAATAGATCTCCAGTTTTCCAGGCAAAGTGGTTAGTTCTGATTGTTGAACACATTTGACTGCATTCATCTTGACTTTTCCCAAAACTGATTTATTGAAATCATAGTACCCATAGTGCCTAATGGATTTTACAAGGTATGAGTTTCTGAATCCTTCAGCAGCCATCCTAAAGGTATTGTTTACCCTTAGATATTAATAAAAGTGTCTCAAGTAAAATGACTTCACTTCTTATAATTTCAAGTTCCTAAAATACCTCTTTTGGCCATTCATTCTATTACTATCCTTTGCAACATAACCCAATTCAACTTTTGAGTCAGTTCCAGTGCTGTCAAGTTGAGCATGACTCATAGCAACCCTATGAATAAAAGAGCTGAACTCTAGTACATCCTGTCCCATCCTCGCACTTCCTGACACACAAGAGTCCATTGCAGCCATTACCATGTCAATTCACCTGGCCAAGGGTCTTCCTCTCCTTCATTGATGCTCCTCTCATATAGACCCTTGTAGCAACATGCCCAAAGTATGTGAGGTCTCATTCTTGCCTCCAAAGAACACTCTGGTTGCACCCTCTTCAACACATACCACAGCTCAAAAGCATCAATTCTTTTTTTGTCACCCTTATTCTTTGTCCAGCGCGCAAATGCATAGAAAGTGATTGGAAAGATTGTGGCCAGAAACAGACACACCTTAGTCCTCAAACTGACACCATTGCTCCTCAATAATTTGGAGAGGTCCCTGACTGCAGTTTTTCCCAGTGCAGTGCATCTGCTTATTTCTTGACTGCTGGTACCGAGGGTGTGTTAACTGTGGATCTAAGCAAGATAAAGCTGTTTACAGTTTCAGTCTCCTCTCCGTCTATCATGATGTTGCCTATCGTCCAGTGGTAAGAATGTTTGTTTTCTTGACATTGAGATGCAATCCATACCGAAGGCTTCATTCCTTGATCTTC